TTTCTTTTCTAAATCTTTTCCCAAATTTCTTCACCAAACAAAGCATTTAAATACAATCTCATTTGGCATGTTTGATTGGGTGGATTAGAGTATGGGATTGGGATTATTAATCCGTGGGTCCAATTATCTTATGTTTGTTTTAACATTTTGGTTTAGGATTATTAATCCAATGGATAATTAATCTAACAAATTTGTAGGATTATTAGTAATGGGGTAGGGGTGGGATTATTAATCCAATGGATATTAATCCAATTGGATAATGAATACCACACTAATTTAATAGGATTATTAATACTTCACTATTAATCTTGTGAATCAAACATGACCATTAAGTACAATCCCATTAGTCACTTAACAGAGTGTCAAAACGTTGAGGAGCTATTGCATTTTGTCCTATCACGTCTGTGAGTCTCTCTCTTCAATTCCTTTTGTTTCAATTTTTCCCATGGAAAACTCTTATACTGTGTTTGCTTAGAAAATTTCAAAAAAAAATTTAAAAAAACAAAGAGAAAAAGTGTGTCAAACTAAATAAGGCACATATATATTTTATTCACATTTCATTTATTTTTCATTTTCACTTTTCAAATCCCCCAACCTACCCAACCAAACACAACGTTGTTAGGGTGCATTGCATATCATATTCATGCATTTTTATTATGAAATTTTGTAGTTTGAATTATACATTTTTTTTGAGATGATTTACGTAAATTCATAACAATTTACGTGATTTTATAAATTTCAAAACTTTTATGAATAAATTTATATAAATTTGTGTTCAATTTACACATTTCTATGAGATAATTTATGTAAATTCATAAAAACTTAAGGGATTTTGTTTTATAAAATAGATGGTTTAAGTTTACAATCTTATTTATCATTTATTTTATAAAACAAAATCTTATTTGTTCACGTGTTTATAGATATTTCATGAAGTTGATTTTTTACGTAGATAATTTTTATTGTAGAGCGTACAAAGTAGACGGTTCTGATCATTTGTTGGAATCCAAGTTGGGACCCACAAGAGAGGTAGTGAGAGATATAGAGACTTAAAGATATGTAAACGAGCTTATCCCATAAAGTTTTCAGTATAAAACAAATAACAATACTAATTTTCTATTTATATGATTAATGAAGTACTAATAAGAAAAGAGACCAAGTGTTATATGAATTAAAATTAAAAAAAAATAACGTAATTATTTTAGACTTAGAAAATTTAGTGTATTTTTTTCAAATATCAAGTAAGGTGAATGTAATTGAGGAAATTGTAATTCAGTTGAAGACCAAAAAAAAATTACAAATAAATGGTAAAACTTATCAGCTTCAATAATTGAAGTAATAAATTTTTATATAATTTTATAATTATTTTGTTTTTTTTTTTTTTGTTCTTTCAACCTATTTACAATTTTGCCATTGCCAAAGTCTAAAAAAACATCAGACAACAGTATGCAGTTAGCAAACAAAAAGCCGGTAATATTTCCTTGACTTCTAGTAGTGCCATAAAGAATCACACGATTGAGAGGACCATTATCATCATCTGTATATTAAAAAATTATGGGAAACTTTTTACGTAGGTTGAAAAACAAACATCACTCAACAGTACGCAATAAGCATGTATAAAATACTTATTTCCTTCACTTACCACAATCTGTCTCTCAAATAAAATACTTATTTCCTTCACTTACCACAATCTGTCTCTCAAGCGTTTGAAGTAGGTTGAAAAACAAACATCACACAACAGTACGCAATAAGCATGTATAAAACACTTATTTCCTTCACTTACCACAATCAATCTCTCAAGCGTTTGAACTAGCTTGCAATTTGTACCATTACTTTGTAAGTTTCTTTCTGCAATTGTTTTGATTCAATTTCTAGTCCAGTATGGTCATTTAGCATTCAAGCTTCTCTGTCTATGTATGCGCGCTTGTGTTTGTGGGTATGTGTAATTGGCATTTGGGGCTATCTTAACATGCTCAAGATTCTCTACTCTCAAATCTTTCTATTCCTTTATCTCAAAATTCTCATAATCATTGAATCACTAAACTTTTTGATCTGTGATAATTTTAATATATGATTCAATGGATATTAATGTTTTGCAATAGAAAAACATATGTATTTGGAAGCAGAGAATCGCGACAGAAAAATGTTATTTATCACCGAATTTATCTCACTGTTTTTATTTCACCTCTCTAGTATATTCATATAATAAATGACATATGTATAAATAAGATTCACCATAGTTTTTTTTTTTATTAGAAAAAAATGAGAAACCATATAGTATGTGAAGAGTTGTCATGAAATATTCGGATGAGCTATAACAACCCTCTAACATATATAGACCAAATTTAGTGCAACCTTTTGATCTACAAGAAGTTGTGTGTTTGCTTTTACGAATCTATGTTAAAGTTGTTTGGTGCAACTTATTTAAACTTTTTATAAATTTTTTTTATATTTATTTTAAAAGTCTATATCAGATTGTTTGATGTGCCTTCTGTTTATAGTATATAAGGTAGAAATAACTTAAATAAGTTATAAAAAAATAAAATAAAATAAAAACCCTTATTTTTAGCAAACTTTAGATTCGCTTTATGACTATGAATTTTCAACTTGAGAACAACTTCACCAAACTAACTCATAATATTTTGGATTCTTTTATAACAGTTACACGCTTTTATTTTCTTTTTATTTTATTCATTCCACCCTAACACATGTTAGAGAAAAGCTTATCAACAAAACTATAAAATTTTTCTGTAGTAATTAATTACTTAATGGATTAAGCTTATTTTGTCTTTGTTAATCAGGTTTTCTAGCATTGATAATTCATGGAGGTCACAGTAGAAGGAGTGTCTCAAGCACTAGATATTCTTTGTGAACATCCTGGAGAGGTTCTCCGTCACCTCAACGACACAAATTCACCCCTGCCTTCCTCTGGTAAAGATTTATTTATTTTTAACTTGCCAAAAAAAAAACTCAATGTTTGATTTTTGTAATAAAATAAACCCTAAAATTTTTATTTTATCAACTTAATTCGTAATCTTTTGATTTATTTTTAATTTAAACCATCCACTTATTTTTGTTAAATAAAACTATCTGAAAAAATATCTTTTAATCATTAAACTCAATAAAAACAGATATTTTTATACACCTACATTGAGTTTAATGATTAAAATATTATTTTTTTCCATAATTTTACTTAACAAAAATAAGTAGAGATTCAACTTAAAAATAAATCAAAAATTTATGATTTAAATTCATAAAATTAAAAACTAAAGATTTATTTTGTTGAAAGGCTCAAATTTTGGTTTTTTTTTTTTTTTTTTTTTTTTTTTTTTTTGTCGTGTGTGTTGTTGGTAATTTCCTCTTTATTTTTTAGTTTATGCGTTTATTGTTTGTATTGATTGACACTCCTCTGTTATATATCTATATAAAGGCTGCTGGCAACCTTGGATTTAATAATGAACGTTTTTATTACTTATGGTGTGTTTTGGTTGTGGGATTTGGGGAGGGATTTGAAAAAGGAAAGAGAAAAGGTGTGTGAAACTATGTGAAATATAGGCATGATTTATTCACATTTCACCTACATTTTCCATTTCCCTTTCCAAATCAAATCCCCCAACCAAACACAGCATTAGAGATTGTTTGGGATGATCTAAATAAGTGTATTTTTGACTTTTTATAAAATATGGGTTGAGTTTGGGTTGGGTTTGAAGTAATGTGTAAGAGAGGTGATGTGACTTAAATAAGATGATGTGACTTAAATAGGATAGTGACTTTTTAACTTTTTGTCTTTTTCAAGACATGCCAAACTTGACCTTAAACAATATACATTATATGAAAATTTTTCTTTAGCATTATTCTTATAATATTATTTTTTTCAAAGTGCACACACATCGCATGTATAGACCACTAATATACGTATATATAGGTGCGGATGCTTAGGAGTATTTTTTATACAAACATTGTGAAAATAATATTTCATAAGAAGAAAATTAAATAAAATGAACAAGTCATTTTTTTCATTCTTTCTAAGATTTTGAACTACAAATTAGAACTTGTATATATAATCGATTATATCATCATTTTAAATCATCTATCTCTTTGCTTTTTAAAATTTAAAAAAAAAAATGACTTGTATATCTTGTATAAATGATTTATTAAAATTGATATTATTAATTATGATTTAAAATAGTTAGAGATCATCTAATTATATATTGTAAAATGTTGATGAATTAAAGAAACAGTATGCGATTTCATAAAATAGGTAGCATCCCATTTTATATTTTATAAATCATCTTATTATATATTTTATAAATAATCATGAAATATTTGGTTACATGGACACCACCTGTTCCTACTATCGATAAAATGGTTAATTGGCCATTACGATCGGGAACAAAAACAAGAGGACTACAATAAAAGATAAAATAAATAAATAAATAATTCATAAATTCCTAAACACCTTTTGTTTATACCTCACCAAAACGAAATTAAAGGCATTTTTACCAACATGTTTTATTTTGAAAATTTATTTCAGTCTTTTCCACAAAATAAATTAGAGTGATACTATTAACGCCTTATAAATTATTTGGAACCTCTCATTTCTTTGGGCCCTCACTTATAAATTTTGAAATCTTCAAAATTTCTTTTTTCCTCCCAAATAATATCAAAATTATTCCTTATGAAAACATTACACTCATTGAATGCACACCCCCAAAAAAAACCCATTTTTCCAACAAGCCCTAACAAAACCCACCAAGAAGAAGAAGAAGAGCCAATATGATTACTATCACTACTACCTCATCCATCATTGTCACAATTAATATCCTCTCTCTCTCTCTCCAATATTTATATGGGAAATGATTTGGAACCCTAAAAACTTCCCCCCTAATCTCCCTAATTTCCAATTTTGGCAACTTTTTCCTTTTTTTTTTTTTTTTTTCTTGATATAAGATCAACACAGACCTCTCAACTCAACCCATCTATTTCCCAACTCTCTATCTCTCTCCAATATTTATATATACACATAAACAAACTTGTCCTCTATATTCTATTCTCTAGCAACTGAAAAAAAACAAAGTCAGCACCTCTTGTTTTGTCTTCTCTTCCTCTCCAATTCTTTGTTTGGCTTGACAATCAGTTCTCAATAATGAGTGAATTTATCGGTGGCCATGATGGAGATTTGCAAGTTGTAGTTAGAGGATTCAAAAATGACTTCACCATGGACAACCCATCTGCAACATGCTTTGCTTCGGCAACTACTGTACAACAAGATTATGATGACTTTGATTTTAGGACTTTTCTTGATTTATTTGAAACTACTAGTACTACTACAGCAGTTTTAGATAAATTAGATGAACTTTACAAGCCCTCTTATCCAAGGCCGGCCCTAAATTTTCGGGAGCCTAAAACGAAATAATTTTTCAGAACTTTTTAGACATTCATAAAAATAAAAATAAAAATCACCCTGTTTGGTTTAGAATTTTGAAAAATAATTATTTGAGTTTGCAATTAGTATTTTTTTATATTTGGCAACTTTTTTCGTTTTTGTTTTTTTTTAAAAAGTACAAATATTATAGTTTTTAAGTATATCCAAATTAGATGTATCTATAAAATAAATAAATAAATAAAATTGCGTAAAATATTTAAAAACCACTAAAAATCACATAATTGAGCCATAAAAAGAGAAGAAAGAAAAATAAACCCCACAGAGATACATATATTTTATATTTTATTTTTTTAATTGGGCTAAGAATTAACACTTATAAATATTTTTTAACTGGGTCTATCATTAATTGGGCCAAATAGAACTTTTGAGGCATTTTAAAATGGCCTAAATTAGTAAAACAAATTTGGGCCATTTTAAATTTTTGATACAACGTAAAATTATGAATTTAAGAGCTTTTTTTGAGACCTAATTTTAGTGGCCGTAAGCACAGGCCTCAATGGCCTATGCCCAAGGCCAGCTCTGCTTTTATTCTATGTTGAATTTGAATCCTGTCTCATCTCCTCCACAAACCATCCTTTCTTTTTCTTCATCATCTTCCAAAGAGTTGTCAAGATTTTGAGAGTGGGTAAGTTTTGAACGTAGGATTTGAAAAAAATAGATGGATGGTGATAGAGGTGGATGCTCTCATAAATCCTAATTCATGATGTAGTGAGTGTGTAAGTTTAATTGTGAAATAAGATACCTTAAAATTAATGATGTCTTTTTTAATAATTTTATTTGAGATTATTATTATAATAAAAAAAAGTTAAAAATTAGGGGTCTAAAATAATTGAAAAAAGACCTAGACCCCCCTTTTCCTACACCCCCTTGACCCCCTCTTTCTTTCTCATTGGTCAGATTTTCTTTTTCTTTTTTTTTTCCTTCTCCTCCAATCACCACCCGCTACGTGTATGTTGGGGGGGGCGGTGAGGTGGTGATTGGAGGGGGTTTCTATCAAAGCCCAAAATAATCTATGAGGTGTTAATAGCAACACTATAAATTTAACTTAAAAAGCATATTAAGATATATACATATATATATATGCATATATAAATTTATTTTTTTTTCAAAAATGTCCTCAAATGCACATATTCAAACCCGTGGCAAAAGTTTAAAATGTGCACGCTCCAACATTGCCTACGTGGCATTTTTTTTTTTTTGGGGTCTTTAAAATTTGAAAAAATCTGAAACAAAACAAAATCACTCAAATTTTTCTGGATGATAATTGTGTGGTAGAGATTAAATTTATCAACAATAATTGAGACTTTTTTTGGAAACCCTCACAGCCCCTTTGGATCTCAACCATTGATGTCAATGGTTGAGATCCAAAGGCGGTTGTGAGGATCCCAAAAAGAGAGGGTCACAGGCATTTTTGTAAATTTATATAGTGCAAAATTAGTGATGGAGCCAATAATTTAATACAAAGGGAGCACCTATTAATTATAATCTTAAAATTTTTATTCTCCAATCAATAACAAAAACATAATAATAATTTTTTGAGATAATATTAAACACAAAAAATTAATATTTATTACAAAAAAATTTTAATCCCTGATTCAAATATTAATCACTACAAATTAATATTTTTAATTTTAACACAAATCAAATCCCTAATTTTAACACAAACAACAAAATCAAAATTCCTAATTTTAATAAAACCACTACCAACCAAGATTCATAATTTTGGCATATCAAAAATATCTTATTTTAACATACATAATAACAAATAATTTTATTTTACAAATCAAAACTTAACAAATAATTATAAATTTCATAAGTTTTATTTAAAAGTAAAAAATAATAAATAAAGTTACATGTAAACAATGTAAAAAAGACACCAAAGTATCAAAGGGAGACAAATGCTCATCTTTTTGGCTTTTTAATTTTTTTAGCCAAAAAATCAACTTTTTACGTTAAAAAGTTAACTTTTTACCAACTTTTCAAAACACTCAAAAGAAGACAAAGAAAATATAGAAACACTTAACAAATATTGTAAATAAATAAAAAAATAAAAATTTCATATACTTTTAAAGTTTTAGAGGTTGTGTCGCTTACCGTTGAAAGCCTCACCTAGTAAATATATTTTTTTTTAAATTGACCATTTCCCAGCAAGTTAAGAATTTAAAAAAATAAAAATAAAAAGTTGAGACTTTGGAAATTATTTCCGTGGTTGGAGCTGTGCGTGTCAGTGTTTGGTTGAGATTGGGACTTGAAAAAAAATAAAATAAAATAAAACAAAACAAAAACAAAACAAAAATAAAAACAAAACAAGACAAAAGGTGGGCGAGGCTGTGTGTGTAAGTCTTTTTGGTTGGGATTGGGAGGGAAAAAAAAAAATGAAAAGTAAAGACGTGAGGCTGTGTGATGCGAGATTTGGAGTTCTAGAATATATATATTTTTATTTAATATGCATCTCTTCAATTCCTTTTACTCAGTGCCCGGGGTTGTGCTACGTAAGACCAAAGAAACCAGAACTACTGGTATTGATCTGAAGGTACGTTCCTTTGCCATTTGCATATTTCTGGTGTTTGTTCCTGTAATCTGCTCCTTGCTAAAAGAAACAGGACTTGTGTTTCGGTGTACTTCTTTCAGGGTAAACGGACACGTGTCAATGATGAGCCAGATGGAAGCACATCTCAGTCTTCGCTAAGGTAAAGTGAATTTCCCTTGGTATCAAACATAATATTTTAGAAGCAGCATATTAAATATGTTGTGATGTTATTACAATATTCCATAATTTATAGTTTGTTTACCCTAATGTTGGTTTATTCATTTCAAATGTGGATTTCATTTCCCATGGTGACTATGTTAACTGCATTAGGGAGCCTAGCCTGCAGCTTAAATTTTCTTCGACCTAAGGAAAATTACAACATGGGAGATTTTAGACTAGAATGTCAAAACTGCCAATCTCTTCGTCGCAATTGAATATTGTCAAATGTTTCATGTTCATGAAGCATATTGATGAAGAATATGTTTCCAGGAACATTGAACGAGAGAGAAAGAGGACATGTTAGGTTCAGATTCTTTGAACAATAAGTTTCCCCACACAGGCACGCAATAGCAAAGATTGAACCAAAAACATAGAACCCGAAAAAATTGGGCAAAGGAGAACAACATTATGGATTTAATGAATTTAGAAAGACAAAGTGGAACAACAGAAATTAGAACCAAAGGTCCAAAACTTTAGGAAAAAGGTCGAAAATGCATAGCAAAGAGAATACAACATCATCAACACAACAAACTAAAACTATTGAAACTAAAAGCAAAAACAAATTAGGATTTAATGCATTTAACAGTCATGAAACCAAAAACCAAATAGGACATAAATTAGTGAAAAGATTCTTCCATTAAAATGTGTTAAAAGAAACACACACACACAAGGGGGGGGGGGGGAGAAATGGGGGCTCACTAGACACCAAAGAAGATAGTAGTCGTTGCCGAGGAATTTGCCAAATAGTTTCAGTAGATTGCCGGATTCCTGCTTGTTCATTGTTTTGTGTATGCTGTATGGGATTCAGAAAGAAGAAAAATAAAAAAAGACTGAGATAAGGGGAAAATTTTGCAATTTAACCCAAATTTTTTTTATTTGATTTTTTTGGGCCTTTAATGTATATAAAGTTAGATTGGGCCTACCCTGTTTAGAGCTAGCTCCAAGTGTAGTATTTCTTATTTTCATAATCAAATTTGATATATGTCCACACAAAATTTTTGTCCCTAAAAATAAAGGCAAAAAAGTAGAGTAACAAGTAGAAATGTATTGATTTAAAATAATGTAAGTACAATCTCCTAATGAAATTTCTAATTAAAGAAAATCCTCGGATTCTTCTCCTTGAAAAAAATGATTCCAATGCTTGACAGCTTGTTCTCGAATCGAATAGGGAAATCTCTTCCAAGTAGCTCGAAGAAGACAGTGAATTTGTAAGACTTTGACTAGAAGGCTTAATAGTTTATTTGCAAATCAAATTGTAGAATCCTCTCCAATTTAGTAAAAGAAGATAAAATTTGACGAATTATCTCCAATCTTTATGCTTTATGGAGATTAATAGACTTTGGTAAGATTGATAGGCTTTGATGAAAAAACCTTCGGGACTTTGGAACTTTAATTCGATGGAGCCTTCTCTTGTTTGATGTAGATTTTTATCTCTATAACTTGATTTTGTGTATGTAGAATTTTATATCTGGTGGAGATAATTCCTATTTATAAGCATGCGTGGAGTAGTGTTAAAAGACTTTAACTTTTTTGATAATTATCTCTGATTTATATAGAAATAAATATCAAAATATCACCATAATAGTGTGTCATAATTTTATTAGTTTGACCATCTCAATTTGACAAGTGACTTAATATGATTAGTCAGCCTCCGTTTGGCAAGAAAAAGCCCAGGCTTTTTTGGCTAAAATAGCCACAAAAAACAAAATAGGCTATTTTAGCCACAAAAAACAAAACATCAAATCCAACCCATAATCATTACAATCCTCTCTCACAAAAAAAGCCAAAAAAGCCAAAAAGCCAAAAGGCCCTTCCCAAACCAGGCTAAAATAGCCCAGGCTAAAATAGCCAAAAAGCCAAAAAGCCAAAAAGCCAACCCACTTCCCAAACGGATGCTCAAAGACTTATTTGCTGTATCACTAGTTTAATTTGATTAGTTAAAGACTTAATCCATCATTTTAAAATGTAACAATATTTAATTTGACTATCATGCAATCTTGATTTGAGACCAATTAGACAAGTGACAAGACTTGATTTGTCAATAATTGTGTCATATTTTGTAAGCCTTTGTAGTACATGACAAATTATAATTGGCTGAATTTTTACATGCTTATTTATATGTTTGTCAACATTTATATGATTTCTTTTTCTTCTTTAGTTTTAGGGTAAGTAATTTTTTTTTCTAATTCCTATAGTGATTTAAAATAATATTAAATTTTGAAATTTATGAGGTTCCTATAATACTTTTCAGACGAAGTAACTATGGCCGAACAGCTCCACTAGAATCCCAGTTCACTTTTCCTGCTACAGCTCATGACATAACTAATCATCACGTGGCATCATCTTCCAGGCCGTGCAATCCAAAAAGGCCGTACAGTTTGGAAGAGCAAGAAAACCTGACACTAGCAGTCGCAAAACATGGACGAAAGTATGTTAAATGGCACATAGGGATACCTTGAAAATTTTGATTTTGAACTCATTTTAAATCACATCACCTTTTATATTTTTACTCATAACAAGATAAAAAAGTCTAAAAAAAAAATTAAAAAATTAACTTTTAACTAACTTTTCAAACCACTTCATAATATATGTATCTTATATTCTATATAAGGCTAATTAGCCTTTTACTTTCAACTATGTTAGTCAACTTTTACAATTTTAAGTCAAATTATAACGTCACTCTTATTAACAAAAATTGGCATCACGTGCCACTTTTCTTACCTTGTTCACTTTTAATTGTGGTCTCACAAATATGTGCCACGTGTGGCACACATGCCAATTACATCAATTTTGCTAACATCAAACGAAGGAACATAAGACTGCTATTGCAACTTGGTCTGGAGTGCAGGGATTGACTATTGTGATTGAAAGTAATCCCAACTTGGTCTACCCTTATATATATGTATATATACATATATAACATAGACTATCCCAACTTCTCACTTGCAAGCCTTAAACTACAACAACTTGTGCTCCAACAACTATGAATGACAAGTTCTCTTCCTTGTCCTTCCCCCCCAACCCACTAGGTAATACTAATATTTTCTTCGTCCCAAAATAATAGTTTAATTTAGAGAATTTAACTTTTTTTAATAGTACAATTATTGTACTTTAAAAATATTACTTTTTCAAAATTATTCTTTAATAGTATATTTTTTAAAAAAATATTAACTGTCATAATTGTACTTTTTGTATTATTGATGAATTTAAAAGAAGGGTAAAATAAGAAATTCATATTCTTTTAATCCTTAATTTTTGAAAATAGACTAATATTTTGGAACGATAAAAAATAAAATAAGAAACTAAAATTTTGAGACGGAAGGGTACATATATGGACTGCATGTATATGGCATTCAACCATAGGGTAGAATTTTGTAATTTCATTAACAACCCCTATTTTATAGCACGTTGATTTTTTTTTCATTAGTAATCCCAAATTCTGCAGTTGGCAAGAAATCAAGGAAACGCTTAAAGGTACAGGACGATCAGACGAAAATTGGAAGGTAAAGAGTTGACTTGCAACCCTTCCATACTACATCATAGCTTTACCCATTTTAACACTATTTAGACCATATTTTGATGTGATTTTTCACTTTTTATACCAATAAAATTTGATATTGTAATATATACTTTCTTTTCAAAATTTTTATTATTAATATATATATTTTTTTAACTGAATATATATACAATAATATATATATATATATGTATATATATTCAAGTCCCCTAAATTATGACCCTGACTCCATTTGCACCGTGCTAGTAGATTGTATATATTGCAGTAAATGTTGATCCATGTACTAGCTCTTTTTTCTTTTCTTTTTTTGTCACCATATATATATATATATATATATATATATATATTCAAGTATTGCTTATTAGAGTATGCTACTATGCTCACATGAGGTGGTATTTTTGCCCATTTGGGGTTTGCAGCAAAAGTGGAAAGAAATGATGCGAAAGGCAATGACGCCAGACGCACGCAATAAGATGGACGAATACCAGAAGTGCCTCCATATTCTTGCCGCTGTTGTCCAATTTAATGTTGAAAAACATTCCAAAGCCAATGAGGAATTCCGAAAGTGGTTTAAGGCAATGGGAAAAGAAGACCGTGAAAAAATGGAACGGGCAGAAAAATGGCTGGATGACTTAAAACAGAAACGGTCATTTCTACAGATTCAAACCACGCAAGGCTACGTTGGGGCCACATATTTCAAAAATTTCAAAAAATAAAAATAAAAATAAATATTGTATTGAAATATTGATTGTGTAATGAAACAAGACCCCGAATGTAGTGTTGTGTTGTAGTATGTTAAGTCTTTTTTTGGATGGCGATTGTAGCATCTTAAGTTGAATGCTTGTTGTGTGTTTAAGAATCTTAGGTCCATTTGTTTTGAGTTGTAGGGGATGGGATTAGATCGGGATGTATGTGGGGTCTATTAATATCGGGTTTGTTTGCAAAATAAGAAAAGTGATTCGCAATACCTGGGACTATGATAGGCTTCCATGGATGAGATTAATATATTAATAGTGTGGTGTTTTGAAAAGTTGATAAAAAGTTAATTTTTTTGACTTATTTAATTTTTTTGCTAAAAAAGACTTTTTTTGCGTAAAAAAACTAAAAAATCAAAAAAATGGCTTTTTATCATGTTCCCAAATTGCCCCAGTGTGGTTTTGTTGTGTGTTTAAGAAATAATGTATTAAAAGTGTGGTTTAATAATGTGATTTGAAAGCTCAAGTGTGAAGTAGATAGAGTTGTTTTTTATTTAGATCTATGTGTGGTTGGAATGAAGATCTTTATTTCAAAATATTATATTATAGGTTATAACACATCATTCAAAATTCAAACTTCAAACTTCAAAATCCAAAATCAAAGTCTCTGATTGTTTTGCCAATTTTGAATTTTAGACGATATATGTCAATGCAATTCTTTCACAAACAACTATGAAATAAACATCTCCATCTATCTATGTAAGGGAGAGGCATAAGCAAGTATAATAATAACATTCTTTGAAAAGTTGGATTTAGGTGAAAATAGTTAATAAGATAACATATTACATTTAAATCATAATTATTTTGTTTTTTTTATTTTTATTTTTCTCACCATCATCAATCAATTAAAAAAAAAAAAACTATCATTCTAAACCCAATATTTTTAGCCACGCTAAAATTAGCCAAAAAGTTAAAACGTTAACTTAGCATGCCAGACGGAATAATGAACATGTCCAATGAAAAAGCAAGAGAAAGTGAACAAACACAAAGAAACTAATGTTTACACATAAAAGAGATCCAACACAAAATTGGAATTCATGCTTACTTGGTCTATCATCTGAGAAATAGCTGGTGCTGATGGGATTGTTGCTGTTCTCCACAGGGCTGAGTTCAGTGAGGATGGTATTGAAAGATTTGGGGGTTTTGGGTTAGGGTTTTGAATTTGGGGATTTTTTAGAAAATGAAAATTTGCATTTGAAATGGAGAAGATTTGAGATGTGTGTGTGTGTGTGAGAGAGAGAGAGAGAGAGAGAGAGAGAGAAGTCTTCGTTGTGAGAGAAAACCAGATCAGACGGGAGATGAGAGTCAACGTCCTCCATACAATAAAGCCTCAATTCATAATTCCGGACTTGCATGAACAATAGACCATTTTGGGAAGTAAATAAAAAGTTAATTTTTAACTTATTTTGTGTCATATTATTTTTTATATTTTTTATTCAAAAAAACAAAATACATTAAAAAAGTTAAAAAATTAATTTTTTTATCAACTACTCAAAACACCACAATATTTTCACAAAAAGTCAATTTTGCCCCTATGTTTCATTATTTATCTTCTTTGGGTTTACGCGATATTTGATTGGGAAATTTGATAAGAAATTTAATAAGAGAAAGGAAAAAATAAATAAATAATTGAAATATAAATAAATTTAATTTCACTCTTTTTTCTTTCTTTCTTTTAATACTTTTTCAAATTCTTTTACCTAACGGAGCGTTAAGGGCGTGTTTCTATATATATATATATATACTATTGGGGAGTGACACACGTAATGTGTGTATAATTCAGATAAGTAAGTATAAAAATAAATAATAAAGAAATTAATATCATAATATGTGTGTTGTCTAAATAGTAAGAGTATTTTTAATGAAATTCAAGGTCTTGGGTTCAAATCTTATTTATGCCTTTGAATAATATTTTTTTATTTTAGGATAGAAAAATTTACCACGTGACAAAAAAAAAAAAAAAAAAAGAGTCACTACACTATTTTTTTTATTTTAGGATAAAAAAATTTGTCACATAACGGAAGGAAAAGCCACTATACTATAAAACACCAAATTATGTGCTCACATATATAATAATATAGATATAGATATTTTTTTGCTTTTTTTCCCTTACTCTCTCTCTCTCTCTCTCTTTTCCAGATCTGGTAACAATGAGACATGAGACGAAGACAACGAGTTGAGACCCAAATCTTTGATAATGAAGAGATACACCGGCAGTGCCTGAGACAGCATGACCCAAATTCTCTATCTCTATTTCAGATTTGGTAACAACGAGTACAAGGCAGACCCATCGATTGGTGCCATCTTCAGATGTGTTCTTTTCCATCGATTGGTGCCATCTTCAGATGTGTTCTTTTTTTAAATCTGACAGTGTAATTCGAAAGTGTTTTTTGTGAGTCTTTATTTAAATATATATATATATATATATATATCAGAAATGTTTCGTAACTCGAAAAATCTTTGGCCCGAATGGCTCAAATGTCCAAAATGACGTCATTTTGGGCAGTTTTTTCTTTTCTCCTCTTTTATCTCGAAATAGAGGAAGGAAAAGAGAGAGTGAGAAAGAAAGAGAGAGAACAGAGAACACCGGCGATGCCATCATCGGTGACGATGGTTGGAGAGAGGAAGAGAGACGATGGTTGTGTATACACACAGATCTATGTGTGTATGTATACACAAATCTATGTATGCATACAGCGATCCCGGTTTTGACTCGACTCTTGCGGTATTCCGGACTTGGGTTTAATGCTTTCATATTGTTGTTTACCTCTTTCCTCCCTTGTACCTTTTGAAATTGGCCTTTGGGTTGTTATGGTTGCGTCGGAACAGGTTGGTTGCCTATTTTTCCCAAACCTGGTTGCCCAGATTTTTGGTCTTCCGCTCAAGCGGGCCTTTTTATGCTCGAACAGGCCTTCTTGCGATTGAGCAGGATTTGCAAACTCTTAGTACTTTGCACATTTGCAAAAGTACTGGAGGAGTGTTTTTTACGCTTGAGCGGCATTTCTTACGCTCAAGCGGGTGGGCGCTCGAGCGTCCCTTCTTGTGCTCAAGTGGTTTGTTTGTTGTCTGCAAAAGTATTAAAGGTGTGTATTCTGCGCTTGAGCAAACCTTTCTTGCGCTCAAGCGAATCAATTTTATGTATCTGACGCTCGAGCGTCAAACCCTCCACTCAAGCGAACTGTGCGTATATCAGATCGCGAAAGTGATGTTTTATATCACTTTTTTGCTCATTTCTCTCTCTAAAACATTCCAAAAACCTAGATTGAGACTCTCTCTCTCTAAAACTTACCTTCTCTCTACTTTTTCACCTAGATCTAGTGATCTCTTCACTCTACTTCCTTTGATAAAAAGGTGGAGCTTCTTAAGACCTTCATTCTCATCCGATTGGAAGTTGGTTTCGACGTTGTTGGGGTTTCACCTTTGCCTTGCTTGGCCTTCTAGCTTGAGGTAGGGATTTTTTACACTTTGTAATGGGTTTTAACTTAGTTATTTTTTATTGTGTAACAATGGTGGTGTTTGAGAGTTATTTGAGCAAGCCTAGGGTTTGAGTGAAATGTAAAAGAGGGGTTTTTGGTAGAAATGAAATAAATGAACATGGAGTTTGAAAATGAAGTCTTGTTGTGTCAAAATGGGTAATTTTGATAGTTGGGTTGATATTTTGAAAATGGGGATTTTGCCCTAAAAAGACTATTATACCTATTTTGTATAAATAATTGAAATTGGTGTTGTAAACATGGAATTGAGTGAGTATTGGAATTGATGGTGGAATTGAATATGAAATGCTTCACATTCTTGAAAATTTTGATTAAACTATCTGTTTTGAGATTACATATCTGTTTAGAAATATCTCTGTTGGGCTATCAATGGAGGATAGCTTTGATTGTTGTAGAAATTGCATGTAGATTAGGTAAATTGAAACTAGTCCATGGTTGATTATCATTGAATATGATCTTGTTATGAATACATTGTATATGTATGATTATTTGAGAGGAGAAATGGGATGCACTCCATATGTGTGATTATGTGTCTAAATACATTGCATATATATGATTGTTTGGGAGGAGAAAGGGGATAAACTCCTTTATTTGGGAGGAGAAAGGAGATGAACTCCATTATAATTAAGTTGGCCGGAATGTCCTGAGTGAAAGTCTCGAAATTTATACATGGGTGAAAATCCCGCAGAAGAAATATTCATAAAATAGCAGTTGGAAGTATTTGTGTGTTAATTGTGAAATTGATGAACCTTTGAGTTGTAGTCTCATTTGGGTTATTGAGAAATAATGAAATTAGCTTATGTATTGAAATGAATTGAAGAAAAATGAAATGGAATATGGATTTGATGTTTTTATGAATATATATAAGAATGTAAATGTTTTATCCCTAGCATTGTATATGCACATTGCACTTATATCTTTGTTAAATCTCATATATTGTGTTAGATTATTCCTACTGGGTTATGGCTCATCCTATTTGGAAAAAACACTTTCAATGATGGTATGCCTCCACCAAGGCAATAGCATTGGAGAAATCTTTGACAAGCAAGACCTTCTTGTTTTGTTTTGTTTTTGTATAACCTAGGGCTAAATTTGTATGAGCTAATCTCCTTTTGTGGTAGCCATTCCAAGACTTAAAAAGATATAAGTCCGAAGGACATTTTCAGGTTATGTTCTTTTTCATTGTTTTTGTTTTGTTTTCAAAAGCTTTTAGATCACAGAAAGGTATTAAAAAAAAGAAAAGAAAAAAGAACAGAAAAATAGATTGCTTGCGCTTACATTATTAGACCAATGTTGTGATAAATTATGTATTCTTTATATGGTACCTTTATGTCTTAGACTTTATAATGTCTGATTCACTTATTTTTTTAAAAAATTTGTAGCTGTATATTCATTAATTTAACATGTACTCATTGAAATTTTACTGCTATAGAAATAAGTAGTGTTTCAAATATAGTAAAACAACGATCCTTTGTAAGGAAAGCACTCATTGGTCTTCATTTAATTTTGTGGACCATAATGAAAAACCTGTAACAAGTACAATTTTTTTTTTTTTATGTCAAAAATGGATTGTTATATTTTGGTTTCAGTCACTGCTCTCATGTCTATATAAATGCTTCTTCTTGTAGTTGACTTCGTACTCGCGCACAAAAAAAAAAAAAAAAAAAAAAAGAAAAAAAAAAAAAGAAGAAGTACATTAATGAGTTTTTTCAAACTGTGAGTGATATGTTTGAAAAAAGTATGTTAATGAGTTTTTTAGTATTTTTGTGTATGTTACATTGGAATGTATTATATTAGAGTATTACGTTTAGGATTACATTGATTGGAGTGTTACATTTGGAAAAAATACATTAATGAGTTCTTTTATGTATTACATTGGAGTGTTACGTTTGAAAAAAGTACATTAAGAAATGTTTTTGTGTTATGTTGTTACATTTGGAAAAAGTATACTAAATTTTTTTTTTAGTGTATTATATTGAAATGTTACGTTATTGGAGTGTTACGTTCTTATTCGTACTGTGGAATTTGTTTCAGAATGAGAAAAAATCCAAAACCTCTATAATGCAGATTGTCCAAATGTGTAATTTCACATTTGGAGAAATTCACTTTTCCTCAAAAATTAAATCCAAGTGTGTAAGTGACGACCATTTTGTATAATTTTCACTTTAATGGGACTTTTGGGTTTATGAGAAAAAATGAAAGGCTAAACAATTTACAATATCACATTGTAAATTGTTCATAAATCTAAATTGTAATTTTGTAAGGCGAGAGGTCCAAGTGCTCAAACACTTTGTCCAAAAGGACAAGTTCAACTAAAATGACTAAAATACCCTTCATTACATATATATATATATATCATATATATCATATTATATGTTTTTGTGGTGTATATGTTACATATTTTTGTCATAATTGCTACATAATTTTTTGATAGAATTATGATAATTTATAGTTAAAAAATGATGCTATGCATTTTTTTATCCAAATATTCTTTAACCAAAAAATGTATAATATTATCAGAAAAATACATTTTTGAACCACAAATTATTATAATTTTACTAGAAAAAAAAACATGTAACATTTATTACAAAAATATATAACAAGAGTGCATATGCTATATACCTTCAAAGCATGCATTAGTTGCCAATATCATTATTACCACTATTACTTATTTGGTCAATAAATATGATTAATTTAAAGCACTCCTTCAGTTGTGACTCCGTGGCCCAATGGATAAGGCGCTGGTCTACGGAACCAGAGATTCTGGGTTCGATCCCCAGCGGAGTCGTTGTATTTGTGTTTTGGTGTTAAGCCTCACCAATTTAGGCATTGTTTGCAACACGTTATTTTAATAATTTTTTAACTTTTTTATAAAAAAAATATGTAAAAAAATAGAGAGAGTAGTATAACAATAGTGACTTTTTGACTAATATTAGAAGTTGCCAAACGAGGCCAATATTGTTTTTCCTAAGCTTGAGAGAAGTAGTTTTTTTCATTATACACGGGTCCAGAATTTTACTTTTATAAAAATAGAAAATGAAAAAAAAAAATTGATACAGAAAAATTATTTAACGAACGGTTTCCAAAAAGTTTTGGGACATACTTTTTTTGTAGAAAATTTTTTTAAAATTTTTTTTATGAATTATTTCTCAAAAAAATTGCCCCAAAATAAAACTCATATTAAAATCATGGGTGTTGTTAAACTTTTTATTGTTTTATGTTTTTGAAAAAACACACACAAAAAAAAAATGAAACATGACTCAAAGGATGGGTGGCTAATAGCAACGTGGAAAAACACAGATATAAATTGGATAGATTAAGACGGTAAACTGTAAACAATTTCAACACAGGAGAATGAATAGACACAGAAATAATGATTCAGTGAATAGAACAAGAGGTTGCCTATCATTTATTTAATTTTAATTTTAATTTTAATTTTATTTTAAATATTTAAATAATCTAAATAATCTAAATAATTTAATAAGCAAAAATTTAAAATAAATATTCAAAAATTTTAAATCGTAAAAATTTAAATAATTTAAATATTCAAAAAAATGTTAATATTTTAAATTTAAAAACAACTCTACACTCAAATCGTAACCAAACACACAAAATAAAACTCAATTAATAAATTATTTTTAAAACTCATAACCAAACACATAACTTGAAACTCTATACTACTTTCACAACTCTACACTCAAATCATAACCAAATACATAACAAAAAAATTAAAATATTTAAAAATATTTTTATAAATAGAGTTTGAATTTATTTTTAGAAAATATTTTAACAAAAAACAAGAAAATGTTTTTAATTTTTTTTTTTCAACTTCCTTTGTTTTTTCTTGGGAAAAGGATTTTTTGGAGAAAAAGTTTTTTTTTTTTACTTTTCATGTATTGAGGCGTTGCCCATAATTCATGTGGGGTTATTTCGTAAATTTACATTACCCTTGATTGTTGCCCAGCACCAAAACAGCTTTTTGTCCTCACTTGGCTAATTAGCCTATTTTGTCCTCACTTGGCTAAAATAGCCCAACATTTCCTTCCCAAATGGTGCCACAATCATACACACTCTCTCACTCTTTCTTCTCTGCCTTCCTTCGCTACAAATTGTTGTCTCTCTCTCCTTTACTGCAGACCGTCTCTCACTCTCTCTCTCTTCCGTCTGCGACGTCGTCGATGTCCCATTTTCTTCCGCCATAGTGAACTGCTGCGACCATCACCGTCATCGCCGCTCTTTTTCTCTCTTAAATTTCCTCTCTCTCTCTCTCTCTCTCTCTCTCTCTCTCTCTCGTCGTCCTCCCTCTTCCTCTTTCTCCACTATCTCTCTTCTCATCGATGATTGAACAGCGCCAGACTTTGACGATAGACCCCGAAGCCAAAGTCACATGTATAGATATGTTTAAGCTTCACAAATATCCAAAACCTAAATCAAGATCGAAAGATCAAAACCAATCCTTCGATTTGAGCTCAAACCTCGTTACTAGTGCGGTAGTCGTGATTTCTCTCCTCTGTCGATCTCCCTCTTCCGTCTCAGATCTATTATTTATTTATTTAAGATTTGAGCTCAAATCTGTTGAGGGGATAGGGTTAGGATTTTTGTTTGTTTGTTTGTTTGTTTTTAGTTGATTCTACAGATTTTTTTTAGATTTTCCCCCCCCCCTATTTGTTGTTGTTTTTGTTGTTGTTGATGATGATGATGAAAACAAAAATTGTAACAAATTAAAAACAATTTGACAGATAAGACAAATTTATTTTGAGCAGATCTGTTCAAATTTTGAATAGATAATAGGGTTTAACAGATAAGGAAGCCTCAGATCTATTCAATTTCCCATTTCTCTATGTATGAATGTATGTATCTTTTTTTTTCTTTTTTCTTTTTTTTCTTTTTTTGGTTTAATTGTTGTTGATTGTTGGATACATTTCAGATCTGTGATGTTATTATTATTGTTATTGTTGTTTGTTGATGATGATATAATGATAGATAGTATCATATTGAAAAAAAGCATATAAACAGATAGAGTTTAAACATATAAATAAATTTGAGTTATAACAGGTAAAATTTGTTAAAATTGAACACATAATAAAATTTGGACAGATTTTACAAATAAAAGAAAATTTTGAACAAATAGGAAAAAAAGTTTGAATAGATAAGAAAAAAATTTGAACAGATAGTCAACCAAAGTCAACAGATAGATAAGGGGTAAAACTAGAAACAAAATATCCTTCAAAACAAATAAAATAACCTCTCACCAAACTATTTCATAAATGGTAGATCTTTCACCAATAACAAAATATACTAGATTAAAGTCCCTCTAAATTAGATTTATCACCAATTTTCTCTAAATTCTATTTGGAAAAAAAAAAAAAAAACCGTTTCTGGAGAACTTCTTACTTACAATTACAACTTTCAGCAATTTATTTATTGGCCACATCATAGAATGACAATCCACTGCATTTTTATAACACGTGAAAAACAATGCACTGCATTTTTGTATCACGTGAAAATTGTTATAGATATATTAATCAATTAGCTAGAATTTCATTCATTTTTTTTTTTAATTTTTATGATAAATTATCAATACATCTTAATAGTTGAACTTAATTCATATCAAATCTTATTGAAAATAAATCCTGATAAAATCGTCGTTAAAAATAATTTTTATGATGATTTTTTTACATATGTTGTTAAAAATTAATAATTAATGACTTTTTTTGTCACGACTTTTATAAATTGTTGTTAAGATTTACAATTAGTGACATTTTTCTATGATGAAAATTTTAAATTGTCAATAAAAGTTGAAAATTAGTGATATTTTTTGTAATAATTTTTTTAAACTACCGTTAAAACTTAACAATTAGTAATATTTTTTCCTAAAAGAATATTGTTATTTTTTAAATTGTTATTATTTTCTCTCTTTTGTGCTTTGTTCTTGGTTTTCTTGTCGTATATTGTTTGAGATGGTTAAGATGTGAAATAAATTTCTCTTGTTTTGTTCAGTACATGCATGGGCTTGGTGCTCGAGGAGTTCATTTTTTTCATCGGCTCTGACCTATTCTTCAGGATGTTGAGTTATTTCTTCTTCCAGTTTGTATATTTTGTTTTGTTGTTATTTTTCTTTCTTTACCTATAAACTGAAGTATCTATAATAGGTCACCTTTTCTTATATCCGGACTAGTGTGAGTCGGGCAAGACAAAGCTTGCATCAGTGAGACCATATTCACCTTCATCTTTATGCCGTTCTTTATTCTTTTATGACCCAGAAATTAATTGAGATTGAAATATTATTAGAAATTGTATTTTGAAGAATATGAAATAGTAGTTGTAAGAATTTTTAGGACTAACTCAAGAATGCCTCAGAAATTAAAAATATTATTTCTTCATTACATTTATGAGTTTACCTTAATTTTGTAAGCATACACCATCAAGTCGAATAACTGATTGATAGGATCTTAATTTTGTGAGCATTCTACTCATTATACTTGATAGAGCTAAATCTCAAAATAATTTTCCTATCAAGTATGGCATCGACAGGTTGGATGGGGGTTTAGTTTTTTTCTTCTTCACTTTGGGAAAATAAATAAATGTTCATATGAGATTCAAATTCCTCTATGCTTTTTCATTTTTTGTGTTTAATTATTTGTTTGTTAGTGGTAGACTAAGCCTTCGTTTGGAAAGAGCTAAAATAGTCTGACTTTTTTACTATTTTAACCTAACTTTTTTAACCTCATTTGGTTTTTGTTTTTGGATTTTTTGACTTTTGTGAGAGAAAAAGTGTAATGATTATAGTTTGGATGTGACATTTTGTCTTATTGATTTATGTAGCTAATTTTATCTTTTGTGTTTTTTTTAGCCAAAAAGCTAAAACCAAACATAAGTTTTCTCATGTTCCACATAATATTTAAAAGTCAGACACAAATAGAATTACTTTAAGAGAGACATAGAGACTCAAAGGTGCAATATTTAGAATGACATCAAGTTTTTGAAATTTCTGATATGTCATAATCTTAAACAAATTAAGAACAATTTTACAAATATTCAAATGCTTTCAAAAGACACAATGGACTCATCTCATCTAAAGAGGGAATATGAGATATGGAAAGATTCACAAAAGTTGTTAGAACCCAACTGAACTTATGATATTATAACTTACTTTGGAACATGAGAGAGCAACAAAATTCCGACTTTAGTACGGAAGGTTCTTACATTTTAAGCCTTTCGCAGGTATCACTTTTGTCACATGGTAATGTAAAAACCAGTTTGGTGTTTTCCTACACGAATAAAACAAGTGATTTTGTCTATAATTTGTGAATACATTGAAATTTAATACGGAATCACAAATTTTGGTACTTTCTCCATCAAAATAATCAAATATTGAATTATGGAAACCCATTAATTTTTTGCTTTGCCAAACTTGGTTGGGCTTAGTCAGCTATATTTTCAAGCAGGTGGTATGCATAATTTGTCTACGCACTAACAAAAGTCAATGTAATGCATAAGCATAGAAATCAAGTATTGACATCTCCATAGAAGACATAGAAACTGCAAACAAAAAAATTACATACCAGATTGTTTGGATTCGCAGCTGATCTGTGAAAGAAAAAAAGCATACAGAGTTCAACCCAAATGCAAACTGCAGAATAGAGGAAGATACAACACTCAAACGAACTGTAAGAAATTGAACAAATCCAAGGGCAAACTCACATACCAGATTGTCTGGTTTCCAATAAATTTCTTACTTGAACATAGAATCAAACACTTGGTGAGCAGGAATTATAAAAAATGTCAAAAAAGAAGAACTTCATCCCAAAACACAAACCCATGAACAGTGATAAATTTCTCACTGGAACATAGAATCAAACATTTGGTGGGCAGGGATTATAACTAATGTCAAAAAAGAAGTTCATCCCCAAACAGAAACTCATGAACAGTTAAATTCAACAAGAAGAAATTAAAGTCAATATAGGCACTAACCAACCTCATAAACAGATATCTAAAAAAAAAAAAAATGTTCAATGAAGCAAACACTGGAAAACAGAAATTGAAGAATTGTCATACCTCTTCTGTTTCGTTGACAAAACGCAGATTAATTTGCACAAACGCAATGAAACACTCTACACCTCTTAAGATTTTTGCAGAACTTGTGTAACAAGCTTGGCTGAAGAGCTACAATTTTACTTCGAAAATTTAAACTATTTTGGTGGCTTGCAAGGAAGTAACAGAACACACAATATTGATCAATATTGTAACATTCGAAGAAAAGGTTTAGACTACAGAATGTGATCACACAAAATCAACCTTACACGTTTTCTTCAAAAATCTATGTGATTGTGCTTTTATTTTGATTAGAGAACAAGAATAACAAAACACACACAATTGTGGGTCAATCCCACTACTTTGGAAGAAAGATTATGAGTAATTTCACAATGAAAATCACACAATTGAAAATTTATATAAATTACTTGGGAGCTCCCTTCCCAGCTGTCACACCGGCCTTATTAAGCATTTTGAGTTTCATCTGTAAGTCTCTCTATCAAGCAAATCCCTTTTGGGCCATTTTCTAGTTTCGATTTGGATGAAATTTTTTAATCAACTTTGAGTTTTTAACCCATCTAAAATATATATATATATATATATATATCTTGCACTCATTTGGATGACTCTTTTTAGCTTATGTCTTTCAAATTGTGCTGTAAACCAGCTGATGAGTAATATCGAGTTGAGTATTGAATTGTTTAAGTTTAGTTAAAACTTTACCAGATTCAAAATATATCCAAGCCCGACTTGAATTAGTTTTTAACAAATTAAATATAAATTGAATATAAGTTTAGTTCAATTAACTAAATTAATTTAACACCGTTATTTTTAATTAGTAATTAAGTTAATTTAACACCACTATTTTTAATTGAATAGGGCTTGTAGACTAGACAGTTTAGTCGGGCTCAGCACAGCCTTACTTTGATGATCTAGTCAGTTCATTTCATAATTTTCTATGTGTAAATTATTTATGAAAAAAAATCATATTGATCCAATAATTGTAATTATATTATTTTGTTGCATTTTGAAAAATGGATGATCTCTTTTAAAAATCATCCTTACAGTTATGTTTTTTATTTTTTTATATTTTTTTTAAAGAAAAATATTACTTCATTATTGAATCAATATAATTTTTTCCCCATGTATAATCTACATATAGGGACTTGCAAAATAAACGAATTTGATCATTAGATACCAAACTAGACTGTCTAGTCAACACGTGATCTATAGGAATATCTATTTTTTCAATTTAATTGGTTTATAGAATATAAAATGATTATTATATCATAATGTTTATTCTCACATCTGGCTTATAAAAATGAATTTAAAAAATTACGTTATGAATAAAATTATCATTGATCATCATAACAAAATGATCATTCCAAGAAGGATAAAAAATGACTATTCCTAATTAAGTTAAAAGCTAATAAAAAAAAAAAAGGTGCATTAGGAATTGCAAATATGCAATCGATTAATGGATTAACTTTATTCTGAGAACAAATCATTTATATTCTGATTAGGTTTTCAAAGTACAGATAGATATGGATCTAAACCTATTACCAAACAGAGGACCTGCCGAGGATCTCCCAGGCTCTTCACTGTTGACTGATAGATCAGTTGCCATACTTTTTCAGATGATAGAAGAAGACGATGGCATCCCCATTTAGTGGTTGACTTCTTCTGGTGAGGATTTTTTTGTTGAATCCAAGACTTCTAAACATTGCATCCAGATGAGGTCATGTTCGAACTCATGAGGTCTATTATAGATTTCGTTTTAATAATTTCAATTGTTCATTTTGTAAGGTTCTGTATATATATATATATCATTTGTGAAAAAAATTACACCAATCTAATAATCATAATTTTTTAATTTTATTTCTAAAAAATAACGATAAATATGTTTTTAAAAAATAGTTCATCTATTTTTATATATTTTTTTTAAATACAGGCGAACATGATAAAATGAAATGACTATTGTTATCTAATTTTTTAATAAATAATATGCACAGGGAGTCTTACAAAATTAATTGTTTAAATTATCAAAATGAGATCGTGGACTAATGATCAAATTCAAATTAAACTCAACCCATATTATATTATTTTTTGTTTATTTGATGGAAATGATCAATGTATATAAGGTCAAAAGATTGACTTTCTTGACTAATGAGAAAAACATAATTAATTTTATAATTTTGATATAATGGCCTCGTTTGGGAAGTGGCTATTTTAGTAGGCTATTTAGCTATTTGGCTATTTTAGTAGGTTATTTTAGTTTTGTGTTTGGGAAGATGAGATGAATTTTTAGTTGAGTTGTTGTATTGGAAAGTGTGTTGAAATGATGTTTAAATTTAAAATGACAGATTTATCCCTAACTTTTTTATTTTTAAAATTGATATAACACTGTGCGGCTGTGACAGTACTGTCCCATGCAGCAGCCTATTTTTTTTATTTTTTATTTTTATTTTTGAAAATCAGATAAAAAGGTGCTACAGTAGGGGCTTATGGGCAAATTTTCCAAAAGAGGCTATAATAGCCTAAACCTCTTATTGCCAAACACCCCCAATAATACATTATTTCCATAAATTTCATAATGGTAACAATTCCACCCGCAACAGTTTGACACTGATGTCAGTTTGATAGGTCATAACTATTTCGCCCTTTAAAAATTATTTTTCATAATTTTTGTAAATAAAAATTTAGAAAATATTTGAGATTATCAAAAAAATTCTCACAATTCGATTCATAATGATATGATATAATAAATGTTTTTTTTTTTTTTTATCTATCCCTTATCATATCATTATAAGTGAATTTATAAATTAAAAAATGTGAGTCTAGCATTTCTCTAAAAATGCCCATGACTTTGTTGATTTTCATTTATTTATTTAATATGTATCTCTTTAATTCATTTCGCTTAGTGCTCTGCGAAAGTGGAATTGTTGAGAGGGATCTACAGGTACATTCCTTCTCCATTGTATTTTTAGTTTGGAAAATGTTTGGACCCTTTTTTGGGGGACTCCTACCACCCTCAAAGTCATGTAGATTAATGATGTGTTTGTATTATTTTTTTTTCTCTTTTTTACTTGGACCAATCATAAGTGAGTGGGGATTGTGGAGGTGATGTTTTATGGGGTCTGAATCATTACTGCTTTAGTTTTTTAACACCTAATGGGTATGTTTGATTGGAAGGATTAAAGCATGGGATTAGGATTATTAATCCGTGGGCCCAATCATCCTATGTTTGTTTTGACATTTTGGTTTAGGACTATTAATCCAATGGATAATTAATCCAATAAATTTGTAGGATTATTAGTAATAGGGTAGGGGTGGGATAGTTAATACCACACTAATTTAATAGGATTATTAATACCTCACTATTAGTATTGTGAATCAAACATGGCCAATATATTTTACAACAATGCTATAGACCACTAATTTGTTATCACTAACCCCACTACTAATGAGGTAAAAAAAAAAAAAAAAAAACAAACAAACAAACAGACACAACACACACTATGGCAGTAGGTGGGACCCACTGCCACATCATTAGTGGTGGCTCTAATTAGAGCTCCCAAACATTTTGCTATATTTTAGTGACAATATTTAGACACACATAAAACATATTATAAATTTGAATAGAATATATTTAAAAATAAAAATAATATAGATTTATACATATTAATCTCTTATAATTTTAAGAATTAGTGTTATGTTATATTTAAGACTGGTTTAGAAATATGTTTTTTTAATAATCTTTTGACTAAAATATAAGGTGAAAAAAAAAAAGAAGAATTCTACCCTACACACCTTTTGAAAGGGGTGTATATGTAACATTAGTTATGTCATTTTTTTTTTGGTTATAATCGATTTTTTTTTTTAGTTATAATATTATTTTAGTTAGGATTCATGACACCTTTGGTTATGCCTCATCTTTGTGTGCTCATATGGGCCATTTTCGGAGTCCGTTTTGATTATTTAAACTGTTCATTTTTTAGAATATATCGAGTAGAATATATTTATAAAAAATTAAATTGATCAGATATCGTTAACCTTGTCATCTACTCATATTTGTATTCAGTTTCATACTACAAATCACATTTGTTATTTATTTCTGTAAATACAAATGTGAGTCGATGAAAAATTTAACGATGTCCAATCAATTTTATTTTTTATAAGTATATTATTATTCGATGTACTCTAAAAAGTAAACTGTTTGCATTATCAAACGGGTCTTGAAATGGGTCCATATGGACTCACAACAGCGACTGTCGTGCTATGACACTACAACCACCCCATTTTCAATAAGTATATACTCATAATTTTATTTACCTTGTTTGGTTTTGATTGATTTTTTGTAAATTATTTTTTTTGTTTTTAGTGAATTTTTTTAATATTTTAAGATTTTTTTTTTAAAAAAAAGTTTTAGATCCACCTAATTTAGATGTATTTAAAAAGTAAATATTTACGAAAAATATATTTAAAAATCAATAAATACACCAAAATATAAAAATATACCGAATTTTTGTACTTTTTCTATTTTTCATATTTAGTGATTTTTTTTTATAAAAAAAATCATAAATATTATATTTCTTAAATGTATTTAGATAATGTCAATCTTAAAAAAAAATTACTTGTTTTTTTTTTTAAATTCATTAAAAACAAATATATATATATATATATGAAAAAAAAATCAATTTCTTAAAAATCAATTTAAACAAAAAAAAAGGATAATTAACATTCTCACATATTATGTCCTGTATTTTTTTAAAATTTGCATATATTGGTATAGTCATGTCAGGTGACATGTAATTATTTCTTAAGCTTCTTGAAATACGAGTGAGGTAGTGGTGGACATAGGGTTGGTTGGCGGGTAGGGGCCACCCCACCCCTAACTTTTGAAAAATTATACTTTTATCACGTAATTTTAAATATTTATGGAAGTTTTACATTTTGGTCCCCTCAAAATATATAATTTTACTCTAGTCCTTTCAAAATTTAAATAGCTTTATTTTATCGTAAATTTTGAAAATATTTGTCATTTTCATGCATTTTTTTAGTAATTATAAAATAAATTAGTATTTTAGTCACCCCAAACCTTTAAAAAATCTCATAACTTTCATGTCATTTTGAGTTTTTATAAGATAAAATAATATCTTAGTTTTCAAAATCTATATAATCTTATTTTAATTCCTCTAAACTTTAAATAATTTTGCTTTAGCCCCCTTTATTCAATTTCCTCGGCCGCCACTGAGGGAGACTATAGTTTGCTAAAATAAGAGATGTATAAAGTGCTTTCATTTTAATTTAGAAAAAATTAGTCTAAGGTCCCCTCCCATTTTTAGTAATGGAAGAGATCCACAATATTATTTTATAATATCTAAGGTCCTTCAACCACACACAGAGAAATTTGACTTCTCTCTTTACCAACTTCTCCATTACCGAATCTTGCTCTATCTCTCTCGTCTCTCGAGCAAAACCTCCTTGATGAACAAGATCAGAACTTGTGATGCAACTTGAATATTGATTAAGGTCCAGCAGTGCAAGACGGCCGCTCTTGACGACGTCGGCAACAGCGACGGTAGTGGAGAAGGCGAAGTTGATGACGACGAGGGTTTGCTCCTAAAACTGAGAAATTTGTGTACGAAAATGGATGCTTAGGAAGAAGGAATTGG